TTTTCTCGGGTAACCATGGGAAGACGGTGGAAACGGACAGTTTGGGACAGAACATCGTCAACCGTCGAACTGTTAACAACGTCTCATACCTCATAATTTCATTACTTTTGTATTACTTATTTTTTATCAACTGTTTGGTTTTGTTATAGTTTCGTTATTGTTTGTGATTGTTTAGTTCTTGTTTTTGTTTGAATAAAAACTTTATTCTTGTTAGTTGGTGCACATTTATTTTAAAGACACACCCGTGGCTATCCTAAAAACCCTTTCGAGGCTGACGGGACAATACGTTCTAAGGTAATTTTTATAATTTCTGCTGGGATATAAACTGCCAAATTCAAGTATTTATATTTGCAAATAAAATTTCTAAAAGGGAAGATATATTAGATGTTCCGTAGGCAAAGTGTAAAAATAGACTAGAACTGTATGTTCAAGCTATAGGTAATGATGGACTCTATTAAATGTGTTACACGTTATTATTCATAATGTTATAATTAATTACCTTATAGTACCAACCAGTTAGTAAGACATTTTAATGAATAAACGTGTATCCTAGTTCCTACAATTTTTTCTGTCACTTTTCAGATCCATGGGGACATTATGGTCCCATTGTAACGAACTAATGAAACAACATATCCCATTTTCAAAATTCTGCTTGGAGAATAATTTATTTAAAATTTCAAGTTTGAAAATAAAACAAACGTGAGGTCAATGTACACAGTCATCGCTAAAAAAAAATTTGTTTTGAAAAGGTCAAAACAAATACCAAATATGTGACGATCAACAAATTCGACGCTGAAAAATGTGTGTACAGTCCCAAGGGTCCAACTTCAAAAGTGGCTGGCTCCATATCAATTATTTCAAGATCGATTTTTTAAACGAATTATTCTCGAAATTTTATCTTCCGACCTCGTAGAAACTATACACTTTTTCCTCTCCTCTACATCCATTCGCCGCCTGTTTCATCGATCTTTTCCAGCCGGAGCACTTTACGCGAAAGGCATCCGAACCATGGCCCGTAACTCTTTTACCGGACTCTTTTCCATCCTCCGAGTTAAGAGTGTGTCCCGTTGAAACGAACTCGATCTTCACCGGTCGCTATTTTTCTCGATAGAAATCCACCCCCTCCCCCCCAACCCTCCGTCCAACCATTTCCCAGGGTTTATATGCCGCGAGGTAAACGTTCACCGGACGGATACGCAACGGGGGCCTAATTAACCAAGCAGGCGGCCGCCTTTGAGTCACGAACGGGTTGATCGACCTTTTTCTCGCCCCCTCCCGGAAACACACGGGAAAACTCGGGAAAACGATGCTTTAACGAGAGCGTTGACGCGCGTCGTTGCCCTACGAATTGCTTTCCGCGGAAGCCGCGCGATGTACCCGATCGAGTAAACAATTAGGGTGAAATGGTCGGCTACCGGGGGTTCGAGTTTCGCGTTCATGTGCTGGAAGAAAATACTGAGGGTCTAACGATTGATACTGGCGACGATTATAATTGACGTTTCCGTTGTTTGAATTGTTTCGTTGGACTTATATTGAGAGTTTTTTTTTATTAGATGAGAATTGCCCCTATCAAGGGGGTGGGGGTATTTCATGTTTTATGAAAGTTTGTTTCGAAAACATCTGGGAATAAAGGATTCTAAATAAAGTATTCCATTAAAAGTAAAAACACTTATAATTATATTAACAGTTAAGTAATTTTTTTTTTATGAGACAGAAATTGTTTCATATGGAACTTCCTGCAGTTCAGTCACTTTCCCTTTGACAGTCATCATAATTCTGATATGCAGGGTGGATCGCCAAACGTGATCAGCTTAGATTATTCTATTGCTAGCTGCTTGATCGCAAATTTTGTTGGGTGCTTAATCAGTGCAGACGTCATAAATAGTAACCATAAATTTTCTAACGGTTTACGTGAGTGTATTGCAGCTGATGGACACCATTTTAAACATCGTTTTAATTTATTTAATGTATCTTTGGTTTAATGGAAGAACAAATATTTGTTATGAAGATTGCCGAATTCGTCTCAGTATCCGCTAAAAGATGGGCGAAAAAATGTATAGGTTTATCCATAAAAAACCGAAGGTGACCTTGAAACTCTGGAAGCAAAGGGTTGACAAAAAATGTGGTACAATCATCTTAAAACTTTCCTTGAATCATGTTGTAAGTATTGGCTAAAAAAAATTTTCGATCGAACAACTAGAAATAGAATAATTTCAGCTGGTCTCGTTTCGTGGTCCTCCCGGTGTAATAGTATTTTTACTGTCTCCCACTGTGGTCCCACATTTATTGCAAATGGAAAGGATATTGGAATTTTATGCAATTTCTATGAAACAATGTTTATGGTCTCGTATAAAGAAATTTTGATATAATATCCATTTTTTCCAGAATTGTCTAGTCATTATTTTAGTGGGAATTTTCAAAATAGTAATAATGTGGACATAAAGTATCTCCCCTCCGCCTTGGTATTGCGAGGGTTAATTGATTTTGTTTGGCAAGGTATTCAATATCAGAATGAACTTCGCGTTTCGAGTAACTCAAGCAGTGACTTTGTCAACTTTTATCAAATGTAAGTTTCTTACTATTTTTTAACCTCTATGCACCATTTAAAGTGGTATGCTAAGATATTACTACTCCCTAAATTAAAGTATATCAAAGTTGAAAATAATTCGAGAAATTACATTCACCTATCACTATATTTTTACTTTACTATATCATACAGTCTCCGATTTCAGGTGAAATTTAATACGAAAGGTACCTAAAGGTTAATTAACTATTTTTTTTAACCATCACTTTCAACACGACGAAGCTGTCCGACGTTAAAACAAGGTTTCGTAGTTTCGTGAGTGGAATTTGACGCCGTTTTGATGGACGCACGTAAACCGAGAAGGGTTGACGCCACCCCGAAGATAATGGAAAATTGTTGTCGACCGTGAAGTCCGTCACGCCTATCACTTAACAAGTTTCCCTCTCTCTCTCTCTGTCGGGTGATTCTCGTGACTCATTTTTCCGCAGGCTCTTGCGGAAAACAGGGTTTTTAAAGTTATTCCGATCAATTTATTCCGAGTTGTTCCTCCGCCGGGAATAAACGGCGTATGGCGCGTCGGAAATCCATTTGCCTGTCCGGAGCATTACACTCCCGCGTGGAGTTGGAAAAATATTGCACGTCTGCCTGCGGCTAACCACGAAGGAATCGATACCGTCGATATGGAAAATTGGAAAATCGTTTCATAATGTTTACGAGAAGATTTATGTCGCGCTGTATATCTAAAATCGAGACAGATGTGTATTAGAAGTTTAGAAAAGACGTTTAAATTCCTATAACCTGTCATCTGTTTTTATTGCTCTTAGAAAATATGGTGGTTATTGCTCTTAAAAAAATTGATTTTAACGGGGTAAACACTTTCATGTATTAATATACATACATTTATGCAATTCCCATTTTACTTTAGAGAATTATTACATCTGCCAATGTTTAGAAAGCAATAAACTGACCACCCCAGTTTAACAAGTAATAAATATATAGATTTCTATTTTTAAATCTCTTAAAACTAGTGTTATTTTTTCTAGGATTTTCAAAAAAACCAACACTTAACGAACCCCACGATGAAAAATGTAGTTCACTCGATCTATGCTAAAACGCATGTTAATATTTTTGCTGAAATGTTAATTTGAAATTTCACTATGGGTAAAAAATGACTCGTATCTGACTTCCAGATTGGAGGATTTTGAACATACTTAATGTAAAAAATAATTGATCAAGGAAAATACGTTTCGGTTTATATTACCGAATAGAAGACGAATATTTATCGTTCGATGAAAAATGAATGTTTATATCGTCGTTGCATACCTGCGGGCACGATATACTGTTGAATTTCGTGCAATTCTCGAAAACCATCTCCGTTCCATTCCTCCTCACGGTCGCGTAAATCTGGGGGCAGAATCCGGTGGTTCTCGTTAAGCACCACTCCCCGCAACTCGCCCAAACACAATTATTAGCTAAGGTGGTATCAATGGTTTGGCACATGACTGGATCCGGCTCGATCCCCGCGTGAAAGGCTCTGGAATTAATTGCGTCGGTTTCATTAATATTTCGCTGATTGCGGTTTGGATTTTCGCATGACAGAATACGCTGTATTCCAGATATTCGCCCCCTCGAATTATTAATATTATTGGCAAGTAAAAAATGTTACTGAAACTTTTTTAATGCAAATACGTACTCGTACTTTATAGTAGACAGTTTACAGTAAGTGTCTACAGTTTATTTTCTAAATTATTTTAACATATAATTAATAAGTATTTTCGTGTGATTATCAGAAAGGGATCTATCGTATAGTAGATGAATATGATAAAATAATAGTGGTTAGTACGTGTGTACATCTTTCCGCTAAATAAACAAAATTGAATGAAGATGAAGGTAAAGAATAAAGAGACTTATGAAACTATTTAACGAGAACTGAAGTTAAATAATTCATTTTGGCAGATATCAATGACTGTTCTATTATAAGATAAAATCCCACAATATTACAAATATAGCTACAACTGACTTTAATTACATTATTACTTTATACATTAACCCATAACTGATGAGGTAGAAACATTATTTATTACTTATACACAAATCTTGTTACTGATTACCCAACTAGTTGCTTTAGATTCCCATCTAAGAAAACATCGAAATAAACAAATTTAAGTAACCAGTTAGTGAAAACAATATATTCTCAAAATATTAATTGGGTTCGTCAAACTCCATCTCACCAACGAAGGGTTAAAATTGTTAAGACGAAGGTCGAACGTCTCTTTGAATCCTCTCTTAGAAAATTACCTCAAGAAATAATCTACATCGATTTCCGCGAAACGTGTCAAGGAGAAACTTCCCTTGCATCGTTCGAGTCGCTCGTGAAAAAGGATCTCCGGCGCACAACAATAAAAAGGAGAAAAAAATAAAACGATTAGAGTTAGGTAGAGGCTGGGTCTGGGTAATAGATCTCGGTGGAAATTAAGGCCGGACGAGTCGTAATTTGATTACTATCGGCCTTGGTCAATTAATCGATGCAGCAGCGTTAGTCGTTCACCTGTGGGAAGGCATGTAGATCGCGACGCTTAGATAAACCAGCGCGACGCAGCTGATGACAATGGTGAACTGACAGAAGCAGATGCTGCCGCATATCCTGCGATCCTGTTCCGGTATCAGGCGACGCTTGTGCTTCCGTCCCATCGCGAGTATCCGATCGAGTCGCTCGTCTGGCTTTTCTTTTCCCCCCTGACGCGTCCTTCGACGGTAATTTTCGAATTACGATCAACGATCAATCCAAATCGCCTCTCATCGAGTCTGTGTATCCTCTTCGAACGCGATCACAATTGGCGAAGTTTGATTTGAAACCGTTTCTGAGGAAATCATTCAGATTTCATTAGTTGTCAGGGGAGCAAGATTTACTTGAGCTGTAAAGATAAAGTAGTTGGATAATTTTATTCTAAAGACTATTGGAATTGATAGGGTTTCCTATTATTCCTATTATAGTGATAATATAACATTCGAGAATATCATTTATAACTATAACTAATACATAGAAAGTACCAATTAAGTGACAAGCGTTCGGTTTGTAATAAGTAGAAACGTCCAATAATGAACAGACGTGCTCTCTGACCCGTGTTCAGTAGAAAACGGATTTAACGAAGTTTAATTATTTTTCTACGTTAAAAATCTATGTTTAATGTTTGTGTTCTAGACTTGCGACTTCTTGTTTCAAGAAGAATCAGACTTGATATGCGTATTTCACGAATTTGTATTTGAGTCTGTAGATCCAGTGCTCTTACAAGTAGAATTAGTGAGTAGTGCACAAACATATTAGTCAGCCGTACGTAATTTTAAGACCTTGGTGCTGGATTGAATTTTGACTGTTTCACTTTCGATTTTATATCAATATATATTGAATTTTATATCACTATATACTGAATTAGTTAAATATTGTGCTAAAAAACTATTTTCTATACGAATTACGATACAGCAAAAAGTACCACAAACATATGGCAAATCTAAATTTTAATAATTCGCAAAATCTTAGTAACTTTAAATTATAATAAATATAAAAATTTTAATAATCGAAGAAACTTTAATAGATGCAAAGATGTTAATAAATGTAAACGTTTTAAAAAATTTTAAAATTGTAGGAAATCTAGATTCATTAATAATTTTTTTTAATTTCAGTAAGATATGTGGTAAATATTGGATACTGAAGCATATCGAACGTTCCGATGACGTATACATGGATGTTGCAAATATGAGTTCACAATCGTAAAAAATTTAAATCACACGTGGTTCAAACTGTCTTTTTTCAAAAACAGAGCGTCATACGAAAGGTATTTTTCTACATCAGTCCTACATTTGCATGTTCAATTATTATCAATTCACGCATACCATGAACCGCACCCCACCTTGTATAATTCTCACATTCCCTTTTTAATTTAACAAAAGCGTCTCAATTCCCAAACCCGCGTGGATCACTATCACCGAATCAATTGCCAAGAAACCACTAGCCGCGAAATTTTGCAAGCTCGAGTACACATTACAACAGGTGTCTCGGTAGCTGGCCCGCCGAGCAACAGAAATATTCCACTCACGGACGTGCCTTTACACTTCATCGATTCGAGGGTTTCTCGCGCGACAAAAATTGTATGCGATGACGTGGGCGTACGTGTGCATGTGATTATTCACTTACCATAGCGAATAACCATTTGGCGAACCTATGTAATCCGATACTCGTTTGAATTCGCTTTAAATTTCCTTTACAATTTCAAAAGTTCACCGTGCAGGCCCTAAAGTACACAAAGTTTGTCCTTGATGAAACGGTAGCTGTTGGATTATGAAAGGTCACGTGCGGAACATTGATTTTCCGGTTACGCAAGTCGGTGATTTTACATAAGACGTCTGGACACGCGATCAAAACATCGATTGCTTGATCTATTCTACTTTGACGAAACGATTACCAAATGAGGAATCGAATAGAAATCGGCCTTTGGCAAGAGACAGTTCCAGGCTTTGTTTTAACCCCTTTGCGCGCCGGTAGGAACGTTGGAAACTTTGTATCGATTCTGTGACTTCGTTAAAAGCGTTGTGTCTCTCTTTCCCTCGATCGTAGTCTAGCACGATTTACACACAGTCCTTCGTCTAAAAATCACGTTGTGTTGACCCTCGGCTTTTGCAGAGTATCTGAGTCATCGTTCGAGTGTATCTCGGTTCCAGGGCGAAGGGCGGGAAATCTTGGAAATTATTGATTCGATTCTGTGAAGTAGAAGATAGAAATGTCGGGTAAATGTCACGGGGAATGTGCTGCCTCTTTAGTTCGCGTGGAGCTGGAAAGATAGGATCATGTACACTTTCGCTTCATAAATCACTCACTATGATTGCCAGATTATACCTAGATTCTTTGGAATAATTTTGAAAGGTTGGTGATATTCAACGCGTTGACCGCCAATGTAATGTCCACGGAGAAGTCCACAAAGTAAAAGCAACTTTCTTGCAATGATACGAATACTTGAGAACCAAGATTTGTCACGGTACTATTCTTTTATCTTTTTTGAATTTCATAAGCATCTATAGTCACACTACAATAATTAATTTCGAATTGTGAACCAAAAATTGTGTTAACTATTGTTGGGTCATATGGCAGTGTTAAAGGTGAAGCTTATTATAAGGTGCAACAACTGCTGAATGATGCTAAGTACTTAAGCAGTAGACGAATTGTGTTTGTCATTTGTTTTTACGGATATTAATCGAGTGCAATGAAGCGAATTGTCGATATCGAAGTGATCGAGACTCATTGAGTGTATATTGAACTTGGCCCCACAGATAGTGTGGATGACCGACAATTCGAACATATCTGGTTTGGAGTGGGGGAATTCATCGATAGCCTCCAGAGGTAATGTGCTTAGAGAAGCGGAAAGGTCAGGGTTCGAACATGGATTCAACTAATTTGAGAGATCGGTACCTGTTTTCTTTCTTCGAAGGAAGGAGCACATAGACTGGCATTGCGTGAATTTTTTATTTAATGTTAAATGATGAACGATATTAATTATGAGTTGATTTGATTTTTAAATCAAAACTGTAGGATGTTGTCTCGAGACGGATGAAAATGTTTGGAGGGAATTTTATTTTTTACATGGATCAAATTAGCTGCTTCGCTAGAGAAAGCTGTATATGTATAATAGATTGATCTCGATATTACTAACTTTCGATAAAAAATAAGCAGATTGTCAAAACTTCAGTTGCTATAGAGAATATTTCTGTTTAATTGTCATTGATTACAAAATTATCTGCAGTGAGTTTTATCAAAAAAGAATCACTCTTCCCTCTTCCCTAAAATTAGTACATGGATTCCATGGTAACGTGTATATGAATTTAATCTGAAATCAATTCTTTCTATTAAATTAATTTTTTATTCGATTTCAATAAAATATTTAAATCCTGTTCAAATACAAATAATAAACCAAGTAGTTCAATATTCTTTTTATCTCCAATTGTGTAGGTAATAATTGTGAATAAGTTTAACGATGTATTTACAAATCTATAAGAACTCATTTATCGATTTGTAGTTTATGTAACTTGCTGACTGAGACAAGACACCTGAATGGTGAGTTCTGTGAAATCGACCAACGACGAATATCGATCACGATTATTCTTTCTTCGTTCTTTTGGTCTGTTTTTTCTGGTCGCCTTCCTACGTCTCTCCCGTCGACTACATTTTTTTTTCACCCCGTGTCATTCGCGTGTCAGGCTTAATGCACTTAAGGCAATTACCGGGTTTTAACTTCATTAGCCGGTGCGCTAGTGTAAACAGGTGCACTCCTCTGGATGACGTGTAATTAGATACTCGTAATCCCATTACCGTGTAAGGGACGATCATTTAACGGCCATTCGAGAATAATACCTATCGATTCGGGGAAACTTTCACGCTCTATTGAATACACGTTGCTGAAGGGCTTTCTTTAATGTTTCGTGAACGTTCTGACAAGTTGTCCCGTCTGTCGACGCGATGTATCGATGATTCGCTCGCGTTCGGAATGATTGATGTTGTTGAATAATTAATACAAACTCATAGCGGATTAATACATTCATAAAGTTTCTTCTTTCAAACTTATTTAATGAATTTAACTTTCAGTAATTATAGAAGTTGTTGCCTAATACCGATTTTTATTCTCAGTTTTTAATCAAAGATTATATACATATTCTTTTATTATAAATCGACTGCAGACATTCATGCAAATTCACGTTTTTCACAAACTAACGTACAAGAACTGACATAATATATAATTTGGACATTTCTATGAAAAACATTATTTATCCAAAAAGAGAATTGAAATCCATTTAATAATTGACAAAAATTGTAGTTTATTGTATAATATTCTACATATGCATGAGAACGAGTGTTAAAATGTATGTAACAAGTAGAAAACGAGAATTTGAAGCAAAAAATCGTAAGATTAAATATTGTAGATCGTAAATTTCAATTCGCCAGCTTCAGATCTCAAAAACCCCCAGTGCCCGTATCGACACGTCCTCCAGGGAAAACGGTACGCAAACACTTACGGCAAACACGATAGGATCGACTGTATTTTACCTTCCACACACTACCAAAGACCTCCACTAAATGTCTCCGGTGTATCTTCGATCGAGGACAGCCCGTTTAAATACCACTTTCCTTTATTCCAAGAACTCGGTCAAACTCGCCGGTATCTTCAGGCACGCATCAAACTCTCGTCACAAGTTCCTAATCTCGAGTGCGAACTATTCATCAGTTTCACATACAATCGATCAAAAACCAATTGCAACCACCATTAACCGTTCCAACTATCAATTCTCTATTCCAGCCAGAATACTCCGAAATATTCCCTACTTTTCACTGTATCTCCTCACTGATCCTCAGTCACTGGCATCAGAATCATCACGATGATACATCGAACACAAAAAAAAAATTGATCCTCTACCAATCCGTGGATTGAACTAAATTTCAATAATATCCTCTCGATCACTATCGATCCAGAAATGCTTTTCCTTCCAATGAAGTCGTGGCGATTTTCATCGATAATTATTTTCCAGGTATTGGTGTCTCTATCCTCGAACGTGACAACGATTGATCAAATAGAGGTTCACTGTACTCGCGATTTCATTCCCATCCATGTTTCGCGGTGTCATATCTCTTCGTGGTACGTTGACATCGA